CCACATGAAGAGCAGGCATACAATTGTAGATAGAGTCCCACCCACCCCTAAACCATGTTCTCCCAACTTCATGAAATCCCTTCAACTCAAAATGTATTGACATCAACAATACTTAATGCTATTGAACTACCAAAGAAGAGGCACAGGCGTGAACATAGGCTTGTCAGGCCCGAAGAACCTAGGTCAGGGGTAGGCAACCTTGGCTCTTTTATGACTCGTGGACTTCAACTCCCAGAATTCCTGAGCCAGCATGGCTCAGCTTGGAAACCTCTCTCTTTCCTCTCAGCATGGCTGGCTCAGGAATTCTGGGAGTTGAAGTCCACGAGTCATAAAAGAGCCAAAGTTGCCTACCCCTGACCTAGGACAATGTGTGAAGTTAAGAATTGTTCCTTTATTGTTCGGCTACAGACAGAATCTTGCCAAACTAAAGCAGTTACCTGTAAGAGCTATGGATATAGGGTGAATTGCTAGGGAGGGTCCGACTTTGCTGATTTTGCTCTCTTCTGGCCTACCAGAATTCCAAGCTTTGCTGTCTCCTCGACCCATGGAAAGCAGCCCCTCCTTCCTGTGATTCCAATTACATTCCCCCCACAAGGCCACGTTTCAGCAGGAGCATCAAATGGGTGGATCAAGGCCGTATTTATGTCATGAAGCAAGAATCCCAGCCTGGACTTCAAGCATTTAAGTTTTTGAGTAAAGACATCTGTCTCTTACCCCATGAAGCTATCCCACATGGGTCATTTATTTGCATTCTTTTGGGACCCTGTGCGCTACAGGTGTCACACACACACACACACAGACACACACACGCCCTGGAAGAACAGATCTTTGCTGGTAGCCCATATCCTGCCATCAGCTCGCTTCCCTGGGAATGGTCAACACTCACAAATTTGTATGTGCACTGACTCTGTGTTGGTAAAAAGCGGAAACTGACTTTGCATCAGTAACAAGCAGAAACGTATTTTGTATCTTGTGAATTATATGCCTTCAACACACAGAGAAAGAGAGAGAGACAGAGAGAGAGACAGAGAGAGAGAAAAGCTCTTCACTCTAAACACCTCACTTTATACACGTGAACATATCCATCTTGATTCCAGTGTTGAAAAGTAGGGATACTCTCCAGGTTTTGTGCGCACACACACACACACACTCTAAATCCACTTACCTACACAACTGATGCTGGGAATCGTGCATAACCATAGACCCTGAAGCCCAGTGTGATGGTTGGTTTTTCGGCTCAAAGTTGCTACACTACTTATGACTCTTTCAGTTCATCTTCATTAGTGCCTCAAGCGTGGTGGTAGACATAGGTCATTAACGAAATGTTTGTAACGTGTACTATGGACACAAGTAAAAAAATAAATAAATACTGTATTGGGCCAAAGATGAATTCCATGAGCTTCTCCTGAGGCTGACTTGGGCTTTTAAGTCCCTACGTGGCACCTTAAAAATGTGGTGCAGCTTAAGGATTCCCATTGTGAGCCGTTGACTCCGTTAAGTAAGGTAATATGCAGGCAAAAGTATGCAGAGCAGTGAAGCCAGTTATTCAATTTCAAGTTAGATTTGTTTAATCTCTGTCCAAGTTCTCTCTCTCCTGGCTAGAAAGATCCCATTCCAGACACAGCTGCTTCCCTATAGTTGCCTTGCTTAAACAGAGGTGTGTGTGTGTGTGTGAGAGAGAGAGAGAGAGAGAGGGGGATGGAGAAAGAGAAGGAGAGAAAGAGGGAGGGAGGGAAAGGGGGGTGGAGAGAGAGAGAGCGCTAAACTACCCATTTTGTATTTATTCTTGAGAAGCTCACAGCAGGATATTGGCTGTCATTTTACTACAAGCCCAGATGACTCAAAGTTCATCCAAGTGCTTGGTCTGCAGATCACATTCTGGATGAAGGACAGAGGGGGGATGAAGAGCAGGATGACAGCAGCTGCTGTGGTCTGTTGTGCAGTTTGCAAGGAGAGCTACTGCAACCGTTCTCCTTGGCCAAGGGGTGTGAAAATTAAAACGTTAATAAGCCATGCTTGTAATTTACGAATTCACCGACATGCCTTTGTCTAAATCAGTGGTTCTCAACCTGTGGGTCGGGACCCCATTTGGGGTCGAATGACCATTTCACAGGGGTCACCAAACAACGCAGTCCGCCATTTTTTCCCCTTTTCCTTAGCTGTGCTACTCCCTTTTATTCTATTGGCTTTTGAAAGCCAATAGAATAGACTCTCTTGAATAGAGTATAATTCTATTGGCTTTCAAAAGCCAATAGGAATTGTCCAGGCTGTCTCTGCCCTGCTGAGCCCGCCAAAAGTCCCATTCTGCAAACGGTGCTGCACCAGTTGAGTAGTCCTCGACTTACGACCGGTTGAGTAGTCCTCGACTTACGACTGGTTGGGGGTCGCAGCATTAAAAAAGTTGAGAACCACTGGTCTAAATTCTATGCAAACAGCCGCAATGTGAGTTGGGAACCACAAGTGGGAAAAGGACTTTGGGCTACTCATTTTGACTTGGCCCAGCAGAGATGGCAGACCTACGGTGAGGATTTGTTGATATATCGAATTCAAATCCCACCATGATCCACAAAGGCTCCCAGGGATACTTAATATTTCAGGCTTTGTTCCCAAGTTCTCCTCAACTTCTTACTGAAATAGTACAGGGAGGCCTCAACCTATGACCACACTCGAACCCCAAAATTTCTGTTGCTAAATGAGTTTTGCACCATTTTACAACTTCGCTTGCCACAGCGGTTAACGGGATCATTGCAGAGGTTCAGTTGGTAAAACGGTTGTTAAGTGAAGCTGGCTTCCCCGTTGATTCTGCTAATCGGGTCGCAAAAGGTGGTCACGTGGCCCCAGGACACGGCAACCGTCACAAAATACACGCTAGCTGCCAAGTGTCTGAATTTTGATTATGTGACTGCGGTGATGCTGCAATGATCATTAAGAGTGAAAAGTGATCATTAAGTCACTTTTTTCAGTGCTGTCGTAACTGAAAGATCACTAAACAAATGGTTAAGTCAAGGATTAATTGTATCAGGCTGGATGTGTCACCTTTTCAGGGCTCACACACTACAGTCCAGAAAGATTAAGGACTCAAGTCATAACTGAAGTCCTGCTCAGCTGGGAGATGGTCAGAAGACACCAGTTCTGGACACTAGTCTTGTCAACACATCTGTGACCAATTTTCTGGATCATGTCAAGACGACTACTTGGGAATATTCGGAGGGAGCATTATCCAGGGCATCTTGAGTTGTCCAAAACGAAGGCAGACTAGAAAGCAAATCAATCGATCAATCAAATATATCGAGGAAGTCAAGGCTAAGGGTGAAGAAAGGCTGCAGGAGGGAGCCAAGAACTGCCATTTAAATGCCTTTGAACCCAGTTCTCCAAAGTCTTCAAAGAGGAGAAATTGTATTTTAACCAAATATCTTGGTAAGAAAATAGAATAGAGCTGGAAGGGACCCTGGAGGTCTTCTAATCCAGCCCCCTGCTCAAGCAGGAGAACCTACACCATCTCTGACCGGTGATTGTCTAGTTTTTTTCTCAACAATCTGCAGTGATGGAGCGCTCATGATTTCTGGAGGCAAGCTGTTCCACTGGTTCCTCATTGTCAGGAAGTTTCTCCTTAATTCCAGGTTGTTTCTCTCCTTGATCCGTTTCCAACCATTGTTTCTCGTCCTTCCCTCTGGTGCTCTGGTGAACAACCTGATTCCTTCTTGCCTTGTGGCAGCCCCTCAGATACTGGAATACTGCTATCAGGTCACCCATGTTTTTTCTTTTCTTTAGACCAGTGGTGAATCTATGGCACGGGTGCCAGAGGCGGCACTCAGTCCTCTCTGTGGGCACGCGCGCCGTCGCCCCAGTCCTAGGCCTTCACAGCTGGGTTTTATAAAACCTTTTCACTTTAGGCCTCCGCTGCCGTGTGCAAAAAAAAAAAAAAAAGGCTCAATTTCAACTCGTGGGGAAAAAAAAGATCTTGCAAAGTTGGAATTGATTGAACTTTTTAGTCCCACCAAGTCTGCCGTTACCACAGCAGCCATGCCCACCCAATGGGCCACGCCCACCCAATGGGCCATGCCCCCCCAGCACTCGACAATGCATAAGTGGGTTTTGGGTTGCAGCTCGGGCACTCAGTCTCTAAAAGGTTTGCCATCACTGCTTTAGATTATCCAAACCCAAATCCCGCAGCCGTTCTTCGTATGTTTTAGCCTCCAGGCCTTTGATCATTAGTTGCTTTTCTCTGAATTTTTTCCAAACTCTCAACATCTTTTTTGTGATATGGTGACCAAAATTGGCGGCAGCATTCCAGGTGTAGTCTTACTAGGGCTTTGTAAAGTGGTACTAATACTTCGCGTGATCTTGATTCTATGCCTGTTTATACAACCCAGGATTGTATTATTTTTGGCTGCTGCTGCACACTGCTGGCTCATAGATAGTCAAGTGATCGTACGCTAGGATTCCAAGGTCCCTCTCACAATTACTGTTTTTAAGCCAGCTCTCGCCCAATCTGTATTTGTGCCTTTGGTTTTTCCTGCTTTTCTCCACGTTGAAACTCATTTTGTTGGATAGGGCCCATTGTTCAAGTTGGCCAAGATCTTTTTGGATCCTGAGTTTGTCTTCTGAGGCCAGGAGTATCCAAGCTTAGCAGTTGTTAAGACTTGTGGATGTCAGCTGGCTGGCTGAGGAACCTGGGAGTTGAAGTCCAGAAGCCTTAAAGTTTGTGGAGACCTCTAAATAGCAATGGAATTGCTTTAACACAGTGTTTCTCAACTTTGACAATTTTAAGGCAAATGGACTTCAACTCCCAGAATTCCATAGCCACCAATACTGGCTGTGGAATTCTGGGCATTGAAGTCCACATGCCTTAAAATTGTCAAGGTTGAGAAACACTGCTTTAACAGTTGGCCATAGGGAGCAGAAGAGAAACTGCTACAAGGCTGAACTACTCATTCATCCCATTCAGACTTTTTTTTTTTTCAGTCACCACTTTGAAAGAAATCCAAGACTCAAGAAACTGAAGGACAACGTGTTTGTTTTTATTGCTACCCGAAGCCTTTCTCCATGAGACTGGCAAACACAGCATCTTCCACAGAGACCGTGAAGAGAGCTTTAAAATCAAGGAGGTCCTTTCAAGAAGGCTATTCCAAGAAGCAGTGCATTTAGAATTAGAACAGAAGATCTTTAAAAGTCTTTTTTTGTTTGTTTGTTTGTCCCTGTCTTTAAAGTTGTAAATTTACACAAACATAAAGGTCAGGGAGAAAACATAAGGAAGGGGGAAAATCTAAGATCATTTATACACAAAGCTACAATAATGGCCCAAAAGACACAGGTGCTTTCAATGCCCACCATTTTGTTTTGTTTCATTATATGTTTGCATTTGATGCACAAAGCTTTTCTGTATATAAAAACACAAGAAAGGTGTGATGTTTCGGTTTGGTCAGTCTAACAGCAGCCACAGAGGTTGTCTATAAAATTAAAATCCTAATTATTGTGCAGCTTAAACCTTCCGAACCAAACACGCCGCTCTTCTTGAGTGTCCATTTTTGCTTTCTACCCTAGGGCAGGTTACAAAGATTCCTTTTTGTTAAAAGAAAAACCTTAATTTTAAAGGCAAGTTTTTAGTTTTAGCTACCACAGTCAAAAGACTGACAGGATGACAGAAAACAAAAGAACTCTACAAAGAGAAGGGGTTTCTCTTTTGTTCGTGAAAGGGAAACTTACCCAAAATAAAAGTGCAAAAATAAAAATAAAAAATCGAGGGAGTCATACAATTTGGAAATGATTTTTAAAGAAATTGGGCAAAGGAAGTTCTTTAGAAAGGAAGGAAATTTGGAAGGAGGAGAGAACACAGCTGGAGAACCTGAAAAAGCGTTCAGCACACTCCGTGTCAATTCTTCGAAACAATACATGAGATTACAGTACACAACAGTAGATCGAGAACGGTGGAAACAAACAACACTACAGAAACGATTTTTGCTATTATTTTTTTTGGGGGGGGGGGTTGGTTTTGGGGATCTTTTTTTTTTTTTAAAGGACTTAAAATCAAGAGTTGAACTTTCAACAGAGCATAAACTATCATTAGGAAAACTAGGAAAAGAGGGGAAGATTCTTTTTTTTTCTTCTTTTTTTAAAGGATAGCTAGCTCCCTTCTGCTTAACCCAGTTAAGATACGGCCTTCTCTCCACTGGCCCAAAAGGCCAATGGTTGTCTGATGTTGCATCTGCACGAACGGGCTTTCCACCAAAGGCGCATGGGGACACAGGACTACAGCAATGTTTTTCAACCTAGCCAAGTTGAAGATGTGTGGACTTCAACTCCCAGAGTTCCCCAGCCAGCCATGCTGGCTGGAGAACCCTGGGAGTTGAAGTCCACACAGGTTCAAGTTGCTGAGCCTGAGGAACATTGGGCTACATGACAGAAACGGGCTGCAATGGCGGGCAGGGGGAAACGCTGCCTCCTTGCCATGAGACGTCGATGCCACACCCGGGGGCGGCCTTGCCTTCCCCGCTGTCTGGAGGACTCTCTTCATTGTACAACCGCTTGATCCCGTCATAGAACTCGTCCACTTCCATCTCTTCCACCTTGCGCTTGGCCGTCGCGGGCTTGCACCTGCCGGGAGGGAGCCTGTGGCGGCGGCGGAGCGAGGCGGATCCTTTGGCGGGCATTTCGGGCTTGCTGTTGTCCTGCCAATCGGGGACTGGGCCCACAGGGGCGTGGAATCGGAAGGCCCCCGTGGGGCAAGTCACCAGGTTGTGCTTGAGGGGACTGTAGAGGTAAACCGAGTTGGGCAGGAGTGGAGATTGCAGAGTGGAAAGGTGCTTGGACACCAGCTCCCGGCAGTGGATCAGCTGGGAGCTATCCATCTGGATTGGGGGGGGGGGGGAGAGAAAGAAAAGAGAGAGACAAAGGGCTTTTTTAAGTTGTTCAGTTGTGGTTGGAAGCATCAGAAGGGGCCCTGGAGGTCATCTAATCCAACTCCCTGCACAAGAAGAGGGAATCAACCTCTTCTCCAAAGCAGCCCATAAAGGCAGGACAAGAAGCAACGGGTGGAAACTAATCAAGGAGAGAAGCAACCTAGAACTAAGGAGAAACTTCCTGACAGTTAGAACAATTAACCAGTGGAACAACCTGCCTCCAGAAGCGGTGAATGCTCCAACACTGGAAGTTTTTAAGAGGAGACTGGACAGCCATTTGTCTGAAACGGTATAGGGTTTCCTGCCTGAGCAGGACTAGAAGATCTCCAAGGTACCTTCCAATTCTGTTATTCTGTAGGAATTCTAGCAATGGTGACCTCATGACAGGTGATACACCATGCCATTTTGGGTGACATGCCAAGACTCCGGACCTCTGGATATTGTGCGTCCAAAAATCATGCAAACATTCACCCACGATTTTCTGAGGCTCCAGAAGACCCGCGAGAACAGGACCTCTGGAAGCTACTTTGGAAGTGGGGTTTAAATAAAAACAAGAGCAATCCCCACACCCTTCCAGCACTGATGACATTACCTAGTTTGGTAATGAAACATCTGCAATAAAACACCCAATGTCAGAGAAGCATCAAGGACCCTACAGTCCTCCTCTCCACAAACACCACTCCCTTCTAGCACTGATGATGTTATCTAGTTTGGTAATGAAACATCTGCAAGGAAACAAGCAAGCCCAGAGAGCACCAAGGACCCCAATGTAACTCCACGCACAGAGGTCCATTTGCTCATTGCCAGGGTCTCCATCACAGGGCCAGACTTTGGTTCCTGCAGTTCCAAGACAGCATCAAGATAAAAGCCCCCCCCCCTCACCTAAGGATCAGTGGTCTCGTCCTACCTGTGCCTTGTGGAGCAATTCGATGATGAGAGCCAGCCAATCAGGAATCAGCTTCTCCACTTCCAGGCTCACGATGGCCAGGGCCAACATGGAGCCCTTGAACTGGAGGAGTTGGTAGCAGGCTAGGCAATGCAGTAAGTGCTTGGTCAGCAAAGCAACGTGCTGGGACGGATTCACCTTGGGCAAGCTGGTCAGCAGTTGAGGCCTGGTGGACAAGGCGACTGCATGGAACTGGAGTGGGATGAGAAAGCAAAGAGGGAAGCTTAGCATCTAGATTAGATAACCTTTGATTGTCATTTTTTCCTGTGGGCACAATGGCACGCATTAAAAATGAAATTCAGTTGCTTTCTCTCGAAGTATACACATACATAACACACATTTAAAACATACTGTATACAACATACATATAGACCTACACCCTTACATATAACTAACGTATAAATATTAATCACTGTCCAGCTTGAATACATAATGGAAGTTGAAGTCCACGAGTCATAAAGCGGCCTAGGCCGGTGATGGCGAACCTTTTAGAGACTGAGTGCCCAAACTGCAACCGAAAACCCACTTATGCATCGTCAAGTGCAGGGTGGGTGTGGCCCATTGGGTGGATGTGGCCCATTGGGTGGGTGTAGCCAATTGGGTGGGCGTGGCTAAGGTGGTAACGGCAGACTGGATGGGACTAAAAAGTTCAATCAATCAATTCCAACTTTGCAAGATCTTTTTTCCCCCGAGAGGTTGAAATTGACTGACTGAACCTTTTTTTTTTTTTTTTGCACATCGCGGCAGAAGCCTAAAGCAAAAAGGTTTTATAAAATCCAGCTGAAGGCCTAGGACTGGGGTGACGCCGTGCGTGCCCACAGAGAGGGCTCTGAGTGCCGCCTCTGGCACCCGTGCCATAGGTTTGCCACCACGGGCCTAGGCCAAGCCAGAGGTAGGCAACCTTGGCTCTTTTATGACTCGTGGACGTCAACTCCCAGAATTCCTCAGCCAGCCATGCTGAGGGAAAAGGGAGTTTCCAAGCTGAGCCAAACTGGCTCAGGAATTCTGGGAGTTGAAGTCCACGAGTTATAAAAGAGCCAAGGTTGCCTACCCCTGCTCTAGCTGATTCTTCCACTTCTGTTTTACATTCTCCTTTTTGACTGCTTTTTATTCCATTCTTCCCTTTGTCCTGTTTTGTTTTCCTCTTCATTGGCCAGGTTTTCTGTGACAGGTTATTTCTTCATTTAATTTATATCCTGCCTTTATTAATTTTTTTATATACGACTCAAGGCAGCAATGCATTTTAATTACTGCTTCTTCTTCCCATTTTTCCCCCACAACAGTCCTGTGAGGCAGGCTGGGGCTGAGAGAAAGGGACTGGCCTAATTGTCTCCTGGTGACTGGCCCAGGCACCCAGACAGCTTTCATGCTGTGAGACTAGAACTCACAGTCTCTTGGTTGACTGGCCCAGAGTCACCCAGCTGGCTTTCACGGCTAAGGCAGGCCTAGAACTCACCGTCTCCTGGTGATTGGCCCAAAGTCACCCAGATGACTTTAATGCCTAAAAGGTGGGACTAGAACTCACCATCTCCTGGTTTCTAGCCTTATCCACCAGACCAAACTAGCTTTCTATATATGTTGTGTTGTCTTTACTGAATTTGGCTGTTGTTTCTCAGGGTTTTAAAACGTATTTTGCCAGTCATGGCCCACAATTAAATACAAATACAATTGAGAGAGAGAGCAGCCTTAAGAATGTGACTCACAAGGATTACCTTGTCTTCTGGTACCCTGAAACCAGTTTAGGGGAAGAAATCTGGCAAGTGTCATTTGGGGGACAGAAACACACACTTCTCAGTGTTGTCAATGCAACTTTTGCAGTTGGACTCGACTCGGATTAAAAGAAATTGGAAATTGTTTTAGATTTGTTGGCAAAATGTGCCCCATAGGTGGTCCTCAATTTATAACCTGTCACTTAGTCACGGGTGTGTGTGTGTGTGGGGGTGTATGTGGTTACTTATGATTCAGATTCAGAATTCTCATAGTTGTTCTTCCTTGCCCCAGTCATATAACTGCATTCTATGTGCTGGGAAACTCGGCTGCATTTATGCCATTTGCAGACCCCTGCAGTCATATGACTGCATTTTACAATGGTTTCGCCAAAAAAAAAAAAGGGTATTTTTTTTTCCAGTTTTTGAAAAAAAAACACCCACCGCAAACCACTGGTTGGCTTGCTTAACAACTGTGGCGATTCACCAACCTGTTTTGTGACCGTCACAAGTTATGACTGCAAAGGATTGGCTCCATTTTGGTCGTTAACTCAAGGATCACCTGCCATTTCTGTTCTTCTGAAGTTTATATATACATTGAGAAATTCATCTGAATTTATATTCAGCTGCCCAGAGTCATTTTCTTACAAGATAGGTGGTTGGTAGGGGAAAGAAAAGAAAAGAAAAGAAAGAAGGGAGGGAGGGAGGGAGAAAGGGAGGGAGGGGGAGAGAGAGAGAGAGATAGAGAAAGAAAGAAAGAAAGAAAGAAAGAAAGAAAGAAAGAAAGAAAGAAAGAAAGAAAGAAAGAAAGAAAGAAAGAAAGAAAGAAAGAAGTTGGATGGGAGGGAAGGAAGAAGAAGGAAGGAAGGAAGGAAGGAAGGAAGGAAGGAGAGAAAGAAAGAAAGAAAGAAAGAAAGAAAGAAAGAAAGAAAGAAAGAAAGAAAGAAAGAAAGAAAGAAAGAAAGAAAGAAAGAAATTTTTGAAGTATGTTCCTGCTCTACCAATGCAAACTTGGTGTAATGGGCTGTGCTTCAAAAGTATGAGTTAAATGAAAATGGATTTGAATCCGTACACTAAAATTGGGTATGAAGCTGGGTGTTCTCCATCCGCCTCGTCTTAACCCTTGGCATTACTAAGACCAGCCATCTTTCCTACATCCTCCAGCTGAGAAAAGCATTAACAGTAAAAGGTTTTTGTCCCAAATATTTACAATGTGAAGGAAATCCAATGGAGTGGCTGTGTGAAGATCCCAGTTCAATTTATCCAGTATAATCTTCTCCATTCTGCGAATCTCTGCCGGAGAACAGCCACAAAAACTATCCCTGGCTAAGATCTTCAGCACTGGAATTTTCTGCAGGATTGAAGCCGAAAAGAAAACAGCGATGAGAAACATCCCAGAAATCATTGAGGAAAAAAAAAAGAGAGTTCCCAATCTTGATACCCTCTCAATACTAGTCAGCTACAATACCCAACCAACTTTTAGAAGAGGTAGTACATCTGTCCCATTTCATTATGCCAGGAGAAATCTCCTTCCACCTTAGATGAAAGAAGTTTTATGTAAGCTTAAAGACTAAAAACATTAATTTGGGGGGGGGAGGGGGAACAGCAAAAAAGGGTACTAGAATTTTGATTTTGGAAAGTTAAGGGGGTTAGATGAACTTTTGAAATTAACTGTAAAAAAAAAATCCTCCGATGGGAAAAATGTGCTAATTGGAAAACAAAGAGATGGTTAAGAGGGGACTTTGACTAGAAAACTCAGGATTATAATTAAAGGAGAAGAGATCCATTAAAACAATGGCACAAAATTATTTGACTTCAGAAAAAAAAATAAAGGCTGATTGGGAACAATGTACTCAAAAATGACTTAGTAGATTGTCTGATACTATAACAGAAGATATAGAAGAACAACAGATTTTTACAGGATAAAATAAACCGAGGCTGATTTGAATATGGATTTGAATGTATTAAAAATGCCAGATTACAAAAATGATGTGGAAGCAGAGGTTGTCGATCTAAATATGGATTTTAAAATGCCAGAGTATAAGAGTGATGAGGACAAAAGATGCCAAAATGCATTTACAAATGAGGTCTTAATGATTAAAAGAGAGCAGAGAAATAATAAATCTGAAGAGTAACTTGAACAGCCTTCTACTTATCTTGGATTTATTAATCTTTTATCTTTTGTAATCTCTAATAAAATTATTACATTTAGATGACCCACGAAGACACCTCTGTTTATTCAATTTTAGTACGGATCTGTTTTACTTTTTAAAAGTAATGAAGTGATCTGCCTTATTCCACTATGTTTTTCTGACTTTCCAATCTATGTACAGTTCTGGGATTTCTTAACACTCTCCTGTCCGAATACTTAAAATTCAGCTTTGGCTTTCAGAAATCAACTAAAATCAGCTAGGAGTTGCCACCTGCTGCAGACCTGATTACTCATTAGGCTAAATCATCCACCAGTTATAATTTGCAGAAAACTGTTTTACCAAATGATTAGTAATCCCCCTTGATCCAAATATCTCTATAGGTTGCTCTGAGGACATTATTTCGGGTGAACAGCTGGGCAAAAACTGTTTTAATTAAAGAATATCAGCAACAATATCTGGCAGCAAATATACCTTACAGATGACAAGGTATTTGCCTGCCACTGTAAATTCCCTCAGTCTTTAGAAGCAGCTCCAAAGCCTTTTTCAGCTGACAGGCAAAGCTGAAATAATCTAATTAAAAAAAGAAATATGATGACTCCTACAGTAGCAAACTGTGCGTCATGCCCTGATCTTTAATAAATGCAGTTAAGGAGCATGTAATAAAGAGCGAAGTCAAAATGTTTTAGTAAGCAAGTATTACTATTAGCAGGAATAGGAGACATATCCCTGTATTTGGGTAGCTGCGCCAGCAATCTGAAGTTGCTTCAAACCTTCTCTGCACCATCTCCACTCTGATGGGGAGAACTTTAAGTTGTGTGTGTGTGTGTGTTCAGCTCTTCTTCTGAAGCCTACGGAACCTCAAACACACACACACACCCAGCCTGATCCCTGAAGCACTGTGGGTGGCCTAGGAACAGCAGCCTTCGCTTGATTGCACATTTTGGAAAGAGTAATTGGAAACCACAACAAAAACTTCTCCAGATTTTGCCCTAAGTCATTCCTGCCACAACAGTTCAACTCTGGGTGGCCTCATGAGGCCTTGGACCTAGGTGGTCCCTCAACCATCTCAAGAGAGGTAGAAGAGAAGAATGTAGCTTAGGGTTGAACTGTGGGTCCTTGGTGCTGTTTGGGCTTGGCTGTTTTCTTGCAGACATTTCATTACCAAACTAGGTAACATCATCAGTGCTCTAAGGGAGTGGGTTCAAATAAAAATAAGAGCTATCTCCATTCCCTTCTAGCACCTATGATGTTATTTAGATGTTTCATTACCTAACTAGGTAACATCATCAGTGCTATGAGGGAGTGGGTTCAAATAAAAATAAGAGCTATCTCCATTCCCTTCTAGCACCATGATGTTATCTAGACGTTTCATTACCTAACTAGAGCCGAGGTGGCGCAGCAGTTAGAGTGCAGTACTGCAGGCCACTTTAGCTGACTGTGTTCAGCAGGTCAGCGGTTCAAATCTCACCAGCTCAAGGTTGACTCAGCCTTCCATCCTTCCGGGGTAGGTAAAATGAGGACCCAGATTGTTGGGGGCAATGTAAATATATATATACATTGCTTACTGGTGTACACCGCTTAGAGAGTGCTTGCACTTAAAGCGGTATATAAGTCTTATAAATAAATAAATAAATAAACTAGGTAACATCATCTGTGCTAGAAGCAGTGGGGTTTGCTCTCTGTTTATGTACGAGTATGTAACACTGTTGGTACCAACACTAACAGGGAAAGCCACTGCATATACACAGAGAGCAAACCGCACAGCCTTCTAGCACTGATGAAGTTACCTAGTTGGGTGATGAAAAGTCTTCACGAAAATAACCAGGGTCAGAGACCACCAAGGACCCCCAGAGGCAGAAGAAGTGGAGATGCTTCCTTGATTCGCTCCGTGAGCCAGCATCAAAGCAGATGTCCAAAGCCAAGCAAATTCCCGCTCACCCCAACCTCGGCAAGTGTTGAGAAGACTTACCTCATCTTCCTCAATGGTCTTGGTGGCAAGGAAGAAGCAGCTGATGGCAATACAGTTCAGGTACTTTGGGCGCGCCTACGAGGGAGAAAGGAGAAAGCAGGACAATCTCAAACAAGGCCCCCTCCAACCCTTTCCCAAGAAACTTGGATGCCAAGCACAGGTTATCTCAGTCCGTGAGTTCACTGCTCTTTGCCTTTTCTGCAGCTGCTTTCAGAAAGCCATAGTAAACAGGAGGGACGACAATCAATATTCCATTATGAGAAGCAAACCTGGAACCCACCAAGCCTTTTTAGCATAATTGGCACCTGGCGAGTCTCCAGGTCTTTAGAAAGGAGAGAGGGAGGGGCTCACTGCTAGCAGGGGAGATCCATAGAGAGCAAAAAAAAAAAAAAAATCAATGAAGGAGGTTAAGTGAAGTGCAGCGGGTGCCAAACGGCGTAAATGCAATCGGAGACTTGGCTGGCGTTTTGCATTATCATCTCCGCCTTGCCGGAGAGTCAGTCTTGGAGCAGGATATTGCAAACTCTAAGAGGAAGGGGTGGGGGCGTAGGGGGGGGGGAATGACGTAACCCAAATGGGCCACTGAATACAGGCGAGTCCTCAACGTACAACCACAACGGAGCCCCAAATTTACGCTGCTCAGGGAGACATTGGTGAAGCGAGTTTGGCCCCCATTTTATGACTTTTCTTGCCACGTTGGTTAAGGGAATAGCAGCAGTGGTTGAATTGGTAACACGGTTACGAAGTGGAATCTGGTTTCCACCTTTGCTTGTCCGGAGGTCGCAAAAGGGGATCAGATGACCCCAGGACGCTGCAACCCATCGTAAATCGTGAGTCAGTTGTCCAAGCATCCGAATGTAAATCACGTGACCATGGGGATGCTACAAGAGTTGTTAAGTGTGAAAAATAGTCGTAAGTCACTTTTTTCAGTGCCGTTGTAACGCTGAACGGCTGCTAAGCAAACTGTTGTAGGTCGAGGACTGCCTGCAATTTTCCCAATTTGGGGCCAAATTCCAGTCCTTTGTCCTAGAAGTAATCCATGAGAGGTTCTGGGGTTGTTAGTACCTCAAAATGTTCCTAGCTGACATCTCCCTTGAGCGAGGGTCTTCGAAGTTGGCCCTTTTAGGACTTGTGGACTTCAACTCCCAGAATTCCTCAGCCAGACACACGTGTGAGGAATTCTGGGAGTTGAAGTCCACAAGTCATAAAAGGGCCAACTTCGAAGACCCCCGCTTTAGAGTGACAGAATTGGTGGCAATAAAAACCTTAGCCAGATGAAAGATTTGCTGGTTCAGGGGGGAAAAAAGCTGAAAACTGTTGATTCATTGACATGAAATAAGAATTACTCAGTTTAAAGTAGGGGTCTTCAAAGTTGGCCCTTTTATGACTTGTGGACTTCAACTCCCAGAATTCCTCAGCCAGGCACGCATGCCTGGCTGAGGAATTCTGGGAGTTGAAATCCACAAGTCATAAAAGGGCCAACTTTGAAGATCCCTGCCCTTGACTGTATTATAGGTTCCATCGATTGTGGATTATCATCCAGTAGGACCTGGAAAGGGGGTCGTCTCGGTGATGGCCCCTTCTTTATGGAACATCGTTTTCTGTGAGGTATGATTGGCCCCCACCCTGCTGCTTTCCCAAAAGGCCTAAAAACACGGTTTTGTCAACAGGTCAGAGGACCATAAATGGAACTGATCAAAGTGACTAATCTGATTGTGTTGTTGCTGCCATGGACGGCTGTGGTAAGGTTTTTTTTTAATGGTTTTATTATGCAATGGCTCTTTTTAATTTTTTTTTTAATGCTGTAAGCTGCCCAAAGTCAGCTATCTGCGAGTTGGGCGGTTATATAGATTTGTTTAATAAAATACATAAAAATAAATACAGGTAAAGTCCTCGTCGTATGACCACAACCGAGCCCAAAATTTCCACTGCTAAGCAAAACGGTTTTTAAGTGAATTCTGCTCCATTTTTCAAACTTTCTTGCCACAGTTGTTGAGTAAATCACTGCGGCTATTACATTAGTAACACACTTGTTGAGTGACTCTTAGTTTCCCCATTGACTCTGCAAGGTCGCAAAAGGGAATTGCGTGACCCCGGGATACTGCAAACCATCATAAATACACGCAAGTTTTGATTGTGACCAGGGAAATGCTATAATGTGTGAAAAGCAGTTGTAAGCACTCAGTGCTGTTGTAACTTGGAACGGTCGTTAACAAATTTGAGGACCACCTATATCGGCTCCTACATCCTATTCGTGTGGGGAAGGAACCATTAAAATATGGTTTTTATGATTAACCCCAGTGATAATTGTATTCGCTCAACATTGGAAAAATGAAGATTTACCAACGGAGGGAGAGTTAATTAAAAAAAAATTGATTGTGCAGAAATGGACAGATTGACCTTGAAAATGAAAGAAAAAGAAGATTCAGTCTATTTTAGAACATGCAATCCTTTTTATCAATGGCTAGAAAAACAAGGTAAAGAGAAAGGAATTTAAGATGTATTAGTAAGTTGAATGTTAGAACCCAGACAATATGTTGCTGATAAAATACTAAGCACTTGTGATTATAGAAAATTAATTTTATACATTTGTGTGTGTGTGTGCGCGCACGCGTACACACACACACACAAAACAAACAAACATGGTTTTTCTGGAGAGCCCAGAAATAAACTGATGATAACAGGGATACCACTATTATGGAACTTGGATGTTTCAGCTGCTCCTCAAGGCACTGTTTGTTCATTTTTATTTATATATTAAAGTGGGACTTCTCGCCCACCCTCACTTGACGGTGTAGAAATGTTTCTCAGAAGACAATTCCAAGTGAGACACGAGTCCTACTTGCTGAAGGACACCTGTAGGATCTAATTTAAGAAATACTTGCTTCTACTATCTTAAGGCTGAGATCTTTTCCTTCATTATTCTCAGATCTTTCAACAAGTGTGAATTGCAACTAATTTTATGAGCAGAAACAGAAAACTCTGCAGGAACAAAAAACTTAAGAAGTTTAGTGGGTTGGTTAAGGATCAGACTAGAAACAAGGAGACGCTGAGTTCTAATTCCGCCTCAGGTGACAAGTCAGCCAAGGGACCTTGAGCCAATCACACACACTCTAGGACAGTGATTCTCAACCTGCGGGTTGGGACCCCATTTGGGGTCGAACGACCACTTCACGGGGGTCGCCAAACAACGCAGTCCGCCATTTTTTTCCCCCTTTTCCTTAGCTGTGCTACTCCCTTTTATTCTATTGGCTTTTGAAAGCCAATAGAATAGACTTTCTTGAATAGAGTCTAATTCTATTGACTTCCAAAAGCCAATAGGAATTGTCCAGGCTGTCTCTGCCCTGCTGAGCCCGCCCAAAGTCCCATTCTGCAAACCGTGCTGCACCAGTTGAGTAGTCCTCGATTTACGACTGGTTGAGTAGTCCTCGACTTATGACCGGTTGGGGGTCGCGGCATTAAAAAGGTTGAGAACCACTGCTCTAGGAAGCAGGCAACAGGAAACCACTTCTGAAAAATCGTGCCATGAAAACAACAGGGACTTGTCCGGGTTGTTGCCAGGAGTCAAAAACTCACTCAAAGGCAACACACTGAGTTCTACCCACAGAAATGAGAGCTGTGCCCTCTGAACCATAAACAGCTATGCTGTTTCCTTCTCTCTGCCCAGAGATGATGGAAGAAAGGGATTGAAGAATTATTTGGAAGAGGAAGAAGAAAAACAAGGGAAGATTTTAACTAAGCAAAGCTCCATTCCGAGCTGGAAACTGTGCCGAGACTTAATTTGTGTCAGATGGTAAAGCTCTAAGCTGCCCAAGGCTTAAGGAAAGAGCTTTAGGAGAACATTAGGACTGCTAAAAAAAGAGCAAGATTTCGGGGTTTACATTTTCTATTAAGCTCTTCTTTTTGTAGAGCTTTCTAAATTACGTTTCCTGTGCTGGGTAATACTGGTGTCCAGTTCTCTGGGGTGTAACGGTCCAAAGAGGTTTATAAATTTATCTGTTGTTATTAGTAGAAATAGAGGCAGGAAGGGATATTCCTTTCAGTAACAAATAATAAATAAATTATATTATTATTATTATTATTAATAATAATATATAATATAAAATAATAATAGTTGAAAGGGACCTTGGAGATCATCTAGTCCAGTGGTTCTCAACCTGTGGGTCGGGACCCCATTTGGGGTCGAACGACCATTTCACGGGGGTCGCCAAACAACGCAGTCCGCCATTTTTTTCCCCTTTTCCTTAGCTGTGCTACTCCCTTTTATTCTATTGGCTTTTGAAAGCCAGTACAATAGACTCTCTTGAATAGAGTCTAATTCTATTGGCTTTCAAAAGCCAATAGGAATTGTCCAGGCTGTCTCTGCCCTGCTGAGCCCGCCAAAAGTCCCATTCTGCAAACGGTGCTGCACCAGTTGAGTAGTCCTCGACTTACAACCAGTTGAGTAGTCCTCGACTTACGACCGGTTGGGGGTCGCGGCATTAAAAAGGTTGAGAACCACTGATCTAGTCCAACGTAATTTAGGACAAAAATGATAGAGGCAAACAAATCACAGTATAAGGACTTTCACCCTCTGCTGAGAAAAATATGGCAATGGGAATATATGGCATTATGCCTACTAGAAGATATAGATCAGTGATGGCGAACTGAATGCCCAAAATCTAGCCCCGCCCTGCTCCCCCACCTGCCCCTGCTCCGCCCTTATCCTGCCTGCTCTGCCCCCACCCCACCACCCCACCCACCCGCAGGACCACTCACCGCTTCCATGGCCCGCTGCAGATCGCCCAGGAAGCCCAGCAGTGCCATGGCGGCCATGCATGAGGGCGGAGTCTTGTCCCCGCTGCCTGGCTGCCATGTCCTTGGCTGCGCTGCTCCACGTGGGCCGCTCTTTGGGGCGACTCTCCTCTGGGGGGCTGCTGGTGAGGAGGGGGACGCAGGGGGAGGTGCGGCTGGGACGACGGCACGTGTGCCCACAGAGAGGGCTCTGAGTGCCGCCTCTGACACGCGTGTCATAGGTTCGCCACCACTGATATAGATAATCCTCGACTTACAACAGTTCATTTAGTGACCATTCAAAGTTACAACGGCACTGAAAAAAGTGACTTATAACCTTTTTTCACACTTTGCAGCATCTTCATGATTACATGATCAAAATTCAGATACTTGGCAACTGGTTCACATTTATGACGGTTGCAGTGTCCTGGGGTCATGTGACCTTCTGACAAGCAGTCAATGGGGAAGTCAGGTTCACTTAACAGCGATGTTGATAACATCTGCAGTGATTCACTTAACGTGGCAAGAAAGGTCATAAAATGGAGCACAAAAACTCACTCAACAAATGTCTCACTTAACAACAGGAATTTTGGGCTCAATTGTGATTGCAAGTCAAGGACTACACCTGTATACTACCTATATACAGATAGTCCTCATTTAATTATAATTTTTTGTTTAACGACCATCACAAAAAAGCTTATAAAATTCAGTGTGGTCACATGGTGACTACTTAACAACTGCAACTATTTATGACAATGTCAGTTTTGGGTACCACGATGTAAAAAAAAATGTTGAGACTCTAGAAAGAGTGCAGAGAAGAGCAACACAGATGCTTAGGGGACTGGAGGATAACACGTATAAGGAACGGCTGCTGGAATTGGGTATGTCTAGTTTAATGAAGAGAAGGACGAGGGGGGACATGATAGTCGTGTTCCAATATCTCAGGGGCTGCCACAAAGAAGAGGAAGTCAAGCTTTTATTATTATTGTTGTTGTTGTTGTTGTTGTTAAGTCCGGCTCAATTACAGGACTATCTGCATTCCAGTTTCTCCCAGTCTGGTGCCTTTCAATGGGCTGGATTTCTGTCCCATAATTCCCAATGATTGGTTAGATGCGGTAGGAATTATGGGAAGAAAATTTCAATAGATACGAAAGGCACCAGATTGGGGAAGGCTGCTCTACACGTTCCTCCAAAAAGAAGTCCTGCTGTGTTTCATTAAGTTTTTGCTCCCAGCAAAGTCAACATAAGATTCTATCTTTAATTTCTGCTGGAGGCTTAATTTAACCTGGTAAACAGGGAACACTTTGCCTTCTTTCCTCCCGTGTTCAAATAAGAGAGTGAGGGAAATGTGCTTTTTGTTAGTCGACATTAATTCCAGGCAAGAAAATAGATCCATTCCCTAAAATGGAAACGGAAGTGGTCCAAAATGATCTTGGTTTTAGTCTAAGCAACGGGCTCTTTGGACTGAAAGTAGAAAAGTACTGTTCCCCGGGTTTATGGAGATTCTCAATCATACAGGTCGCCGTTGTCATAAGGTGCTTTTTCAAAAGGGAACTGGACTTTTGTGGCTTTTTTCCTTGAAAACGTTTCACTTCTCGTCTAAGAAGCTTCTTCAGTTCTAACTGACTGGTAGGGAAAGGAAGGATTCATATTGGAGCTCTCTAGAGCTAACGACGACACTCAAGAGTACTAATAACCAGATGACTGCAAAGAATATAAATCCTTCCATTTATATTCTTTGCAGTTATCTGGTTGTTAGGTACTCTGAAGGTCAATTTTTTTCAGTGCCACTTCAAAGAACACTTGTAATGCTCTGTGCCTCTTCAAATAAGTCACAGGCCTCCAAACGTGGCAACTTTACGACTAGTGGACTTCAACTCCCAGAATTCCTCAGTCAGCCATGCTACTGAGGAATTCCTCAGTCAGCCATGCTGAGGAATTCCTCAATCAGCCATGCTACTGAGGAATTCCTCAATCAGCCATGCTACTGAGGAATTCTGGGAGTTGAAGTCCACAAGTCATAAAGTTGCCATTTTTGCAGACCCCTGAAATAAGCCGTTGAAAGAGCTGGGAAAACAGAGAAGGCAGAGCAATGGGCACTGTTCAGCTCCAGCCATGAATGAACTACATGAACATGGAGGAGGTGATGGCCTTCAGCAGAGTATGCTCATAGAGATGCACAGCACAAAACCCCTTCGTCTCTGAGCAGAGTAAGTCAAGCATCAAGAGTCCAGGTGAACAGGAAATGGAAGATTTCGTCTCCAAAAGGTTTTGCGCAGGCTGGGACGGAGCCAGGAAGAGACCCAACTATCAACCCTTTGCAAAGATCTTAGAGGTCAAATTGTTACCTTCACAGCAGCTAAAAACCTGTCCAACAGGCTGACGGCCAGAGAAAGCGTTTCCGGATAAAGGTGGAACTGGCATCTGAGTTTGGCCAGCCACCGAATCACTTCGTCCCGCTGGGTTGGAGAAATGCCTGCATCCTGTAGAGTAAAAAGAAAAATAAGATTAAAAACAATCTCTCTCTCTTTCTCTCTCTCTCTCACACACACACACACACATTTTTCACAACCACTTATTTAATCATTCATCTATTTTTCATCCCTCTTTATCTATCAGTAGCCATCTTCCAACCATGTTACTTTAGCTAACTGCAAAGCCAGTCCAACTATACCAGCAACTCAAGATGTAACAAGGCATTTTTGAGGAGTGCCAGTGAAGCTTCCCAGAAACCCTGAGGTAAAACTGTCAAGACTTTGCACAACCTATGGAAGGATGTTTCAGGTGGGGTGGTGTAGCTGCTTACAGAAACTCCACAGATTGTGCTGCAGCAGCCCTTGACTTGCAGGATGTCCAAACACACAAAATTACATCACCAAAAAATGGCACTTCTAAAAAAAATCATAAAGAGTAAATTTGGCAAAGAAAGGCCTAAGCTAGGGGTCTTCAAACTTGGCCACTTTTAAGACTTTTGGACTTCAACTCCCAGAATTCCTCAGCCGGCCAGGGCTGGCTGAGGAATTCTGGGAGTTGAAGTCCACAAGTCTTAAAGTGGCCAAGTTTGAAGACCCCTGGCATAAGCTAAACACAATGACAAATGGGGACCTGGGGTCTTTTCAGGGCTTCCAAGAAGCATTTGTTAGTAAAATGGGCATTTGTTAGTAAAATGTCTAGCTTCTTTATACAAGGGACCAATCTCATCATCAATATAACCCTTCACGCAAAATGTTTCTGAAGCTTTTTTAGGTTCCAAAATGCTCTTAAGGACAGGGCCATGCTGGCTCAGGAATTCTGGGAATTGAAGTCCACAGGTCATAAAGGGGCCCACGATAGCAGTGTTCCAATATCTAAGGAGCTGTCATAAAGAAGAAAGAATCAACTTATTTTCCAAAGCGCCTGAGGCAGAACAAGAAACAATGGATGGGAACTAATGAAGGAGAGACGCAACCTAGAACCAAGGAGAAATTTCCTGTCAGTGAGAACAATCAACCAGTGGAACGGCTTGCCTCCAGAAGTTGTGGATGCTCCAACACTGGAGGTTTTTAACAGAAGATTGGATGGAAAATTCCTGTCTTAAAATGGCGGATGTACACCTTCAGTTTTTTCCTATTAAAAAGATGATGGTGGTGGAACAGAATTTCAAGGCTGAACAGTCTGGCTGCTGCTGTTCCATGTGGGAGGCCTGTCAATCTCAAATATTTACATTCAGCTGCCCGGTAGGGCAGAGAAGAATTTCCCTCTGGGATGGTTGGCTGTTGGCTGAAGAGATGTCAAAGCTTTCCTTAACCATCTGTGACTTGAGTGTTCAGCATCACTGCAGCAGGGGCTGGGTGAAGACCCCACATGCGCCACGCACCATTTGCAAAGAGAGTAGGAAGCCACAGATGGGGTCCTCAGCTGGCCAGACAAACATGTGCCAGACAAACATTGGGGGTTCTGACATGGCAGTCCCCATATCCCCCTTCCATGGCTATTGTTCAGTCACTAAGTCATGTTTGACTCTTCACAAACCCAAGGACTATAGCACACCAGGCCCCTCCTGTCCTCCACTGTCTTCTGGAGTTTGCCCAAATTCATGTTCACTGAGTCAATGACCCTATCTAACCATCTCCTCCTCCGCCGTCCCTTTCTCCTTTGGCCTTCCATCTTTCCCAACATCAGGCTTTTTTCCAAGGAGGCCTCTCTTCTCATTAGGTGGCTAAAACATTTGAGCTTCAGCTTCAGAATCTGCCCTTTCAAAGAACAACCAGGGTTGCTTTCCTTTAGGATTGACTGACTGCATCTCCTTGCAGTCCAAGGGACTCTTAAAGAATCTTCTCTTATTGTTCACTATTGGTACATAATTCATTCACCTTCATATGTGGGCAGAGAAGAACACCGTGTATGTTACATGACCTTGTATCTATGTATATATGTGTGGGTGTCTGTAAAGGGGCGTTGTCTTACCTGAACGCCTTTTCTCAGCAGGATGATGTAGAGTCCAATGGATGGATGGGTTCTATGACAGCCTTCCTGCCCGGCAGACTGGGTAAAAAACTTTGGCCACACCCTTCCTTTGGGCGTGACCCCAGTTTTGACTGAGGCGAGAAAGTTTGTTGTAATTGATATGGTAGCTCCTTGTCCTATACCTGCCTAGACCTAATACCTGGGTGGGCTTGGACTCTACATCATCCTGCTGAGAAAAGGCGTTCAGGTAAGACAACGCCCCTTCTCCAGCAGGATGGCTGTAGAGTCCAATGGATGGGACATACCAAAGCCCTCATGTCCCCCTGGGAGGGAGCGTCTAGGCCACTGAATCCTGAGCAGATACGACTTGCTGTAGCACTCTTCTACCAAAGGCAGCATCTGCTGCGGCAAAGGAGTCTAAACGGTAATGCCGAATGAAAACAGAAGGCGAAGACCAAGTTGCGGCCTTGCAAATCTCTTCCACCGACGCTTGTGTCAACCACGCAGCAGATGTAGCTGCGCTTCGTGTTGAATGGGCAGTCACGTGTGTGGGCACTGGAAGTGCCTGCGAGACGTAGGCTTGGGCTATACAGGCTCTGATCCACCTTCCTATGGTAGAAGATGACACCTTCTTTCCCATAGTTGATGGTTGAAAGGAAACAAATAATGCTTCCGTCTTACGGAAGGAAGAAGTGCGTTTCACGTAGAAACACAGCGCTCTACGTACGTCCAGCTTGTGCCATCTGTGCTCTAGCCTATGTCTGGGTTTTGGGCAGAAATCAGGAAGAATCAGTTCCTGAGATCTGTGGAAGATGCTGTTTACCTTCGGAATGAAAGCTGGATCTGGTCTAAGAACGACCTTATCCTTGAAGAAGGTACAAAGATCCTTCCTCACTGACAGTGCCGCTAGTTCTGAAATTCTCCTTGCTGAAGTAATGGCCACAAGAAAGGCTACCTTCAGCGATAAATGATGAAGAGAACATGAGTCAAGAGGCTCAAAGGGTGCTGATGTCAAGGCTTGAAGAACTTTAGGCAAGTTCCAAGACGGGTACCTGTGTATAACAGGAGGTTTAGTGTTGGCCGCCCCTTTTAAAAAGGCGCTAATCGCTGGATGTTGCGCCAGGGAGGTTAAGTTGTCACATTTCCAATTTTATGCGGGAGAAAACCCGAATAACCAAAGACCTATATATATATGTGTATGTGTGTGTGTGTGTGTATGTATATGTATGTATGTACGTATATATACAGGTAGTCGACTTACAACCACGATTGAGTACAAAATTTCCACTGCTAAGCAACAAACTCACTGTTAAGTGAGTTTTGCCTCATTTTACAATCTTTCTTGCAACAGTTGTTAAGTGAATCACAGCAATTGTTAAATTAGCAGCACAGTTGTTCAGTGAATCTGACTTCCCCTTTGATTTTGCTTGTTAAAAGGTTGCAAAAAAAAAAAAATCACGTGACCCTGGGACACTGTAATTATCATAAATACAACTCACTTGCTAAGCATCCAAATGTTGATCACATAACCACAGGGATGCTGCAACGGTCATTAAGGGTAAAAAGCTGTCATAAGTCACTTTTTCCCAGTTCTGTTGTAACTTTGAACGATCACTAATCAAACTGTTGTAAGTAGAGGACAACCTGTACTACCATATTTCCCTGAAAATAAGACCAGATCTTATATTAATTGTTGCTCCAAAAGAAGCATCAGGGCTTATTTTCTGGTTAGGTCTTATTTTCAGGGAAATACGGTACTAAATGCACCCGTCTGGTTGATGATCTTAACTGGGGCTTATTTTTCGGTTGGGTCTTATTTCCGAGGAAACACGGTAGCTATCGAGACTAGTGGATTCTGAGATCAAATATCTAGCACCACAGTATGATTTATACAGGGCACCCTGCCCAGAAACCTAGCATAAAACTGAAGCAAATAAGTGTCTAATAATAGCAGAAGAGTTAGTACTGGAGTAAGCAACCCTTCCAAAGCACTGCCTGACAATACCCAGCTTATGACTTGATCCAAATTAAGCGCTTAGTACAGGGTGTACCGACCTCAGCGCACCGCTGCAAATGCTGAATTGCCTGGAATTTGCAGAGGGTAGCTGCGATGGGGGCACCCTGTGCCAGGAATTTATTTTGGACTGGGTCTTCAAGAAGCAGGTAGCGTGGATGTAAGCAGACTCTTCTATATCAACATTTGTAATGCGGGTGTTTATTTGGACACATGCTGCAGCTTATGTCTTGTCTGGTCAGAGACTCTATGAAAAGGTTTAGAAAAGCAAGACAAAGTATCATCCAAAGGATAAAAGCTTCCCTTATTAATATAGGGACATGGGTAAAGATGAAGCTCTAGAGCAGAGTGTGTGAGTGAGTGAGTGAGTGAGTGAGTGTGTGTGTGTGTGTCCAATCTTGGCAACTTTAAGTCTTATGGACTTCAACTCCCAGAACTCCCCAGCTAGCAGAGCAGATGAGTCCAATCCTGGCAACTTATAAGACTTGTAGAGTTCAACTCCCAGAATCCCCCCCAGCCTAGGAAATGAAGTTCACAAGTCTTAAAGTCGCCAAGATTGGACACCCCTACTCTAGAAGAGAAATATTCCAACTAGCAGAAGGAACCTATTTCGGACGGTACTTGCCATATGTGTGGACCCCTCCCGAGTCCAATCTGTCATTCGGATTATGCAATAAAGCTTAGAGCCAAACAGGAAGGATTTTCTAGCAAAGTGAATGCAAAGTCTAACAGCCTCACAATGGGTTGCGAATTACACACACAGGGTGGACAGCTGGAAAAAAAAAAAAAAAAAGAGCAGCATAGATGGAAGATTGGAACAGAACGCAGCGCCAGATCGGAGAAGGCAACTGAAGTGGCTGTTGGCACCACAATTCCCCCAACCAAGCAGGCTGGGGATGATGGGAGGTGGGGTCCATATCAACTCAAACACAGGGCCCATCCTTTTTGCAGCTGTACTTTTTCCATGCAGGATGTAAGTAGTCTTGATTTACAACCAGTCGCTTAGTGAATGTTCAGTTATGA